TTCATAGGATAAATAATTTTCCTTTTTTTAACAATAAAAATATAACAATTGAAATGAAATAGGCGAAAGGAGTACCATATATCGTACATTTACCATCTGTAGTTACATCATGTTAGTTTCTTATTCTTGCATTATATACTTAAAGGTGATCACAATTGGCAAACGGGTTAGGTTAGATCTACGGAAACATTTACAGCTAATTTCAGTATGAGTTCGCATATGCAAAGATAGTTTGCGATACGAATTTTGCAACCATCAATATAAAAAAAATTTTCTACTGCAACTGTAAACCTGTTGGTTGTGACGTGTAACGTGCGAGACTTTATTTTTCAAATTTTTAATGCAAAATAATTGTAAGTGATTGTCGATCGTAAAACGACCTTTGTGAAGGCTTAGTGTGCATGCGCTACGTGCACTCGATCGAGAAAGTGGTGTTATTTTACCTAAGGCATATGACGGACGAATGCAGTTTCCTTTTTAATTTAAGTACAAATTGGCAGCACGAACTGGCCAGATGAAGGTAATTTATGTAATAAGAAATTGAATGCTTTGTGTTTTAAAGACCGCAAGTGCCAAGTGATTACGGAGGTTAAAATTCGTGTGTTTCAGAAAGAACCTAATTGCTTCCATGGTGCTTTGTTTATTATTATTGTCGACAGTGTATATGTTAATTTCCATTCGTTTATATCCTACATGATTAGTTATCAACTTTATTCGTATTTTCTAATAATGAACATCTTACGTTCATTTTCATTTTCCTTGGCTTACCAAAAAGGTATTTAAGTGGGCGGTGTTCCATTTCATAAGAAGAGCAACAAAAAACACGAAAAAACACGTGTCAACTGTCAAAAGATTCTATCATCTTCAATTCATTTTTTAAAATTGTGGGACAGACAAAATTTTTTTTCAACATATATTCTTAATCTTAAATTTTTTTTCAGTAATTATAAAATTATTCTTTTTAATTCATATGTATGTTTAGTAAATGTTTAAAAATAAGTGTTATATATATATTTATATATTGTTTTTCCATAATAGCTTTATGTTGTATATATGTGTTATGAAATTATATTCATATAATGAGATTAAATTAATTTCACTTTAGATAAAATATTTTTATTTCATAATTTATAGATAATGTCAGATGATGATGCTGCAATGGATTCAATGGATACAGAAGAAGATATTTTTTGTCCAAGAAAACGTAGCCTTGGCTCTAATGTCAGGAGGGTTAAAAGTTTACGTACTTTACGATCACATTCAAACAGTACTTCCCATATATCTATGAATAACTTAAGTGTACGTCGTAGCACGCGTAATAGAATGCAAACATATGATAATCTTAATACTAGTTGGATTTTAGGTAAAGCATACCTAAATATTGTATTTGATGTTTAATATACATTAATAACATAAATTGCTTCAATTTATTGTCAACTTTTTCATTAATTAATTACTATAATAGTTATGAAATGAATATAATAAAATTTTAAAAATATTTGTACTTTTTAGGTACGCAGACATTGAAAGGTTATCCTATGTTTCAACAGCATGGTTCTTCATCTGATAAAGAAATGGTGGATGAAGTTTCTGAGAGAAAACGTGATGTTAGAGAGAGAATGCCTCTTAGATCACGTGAAAATCATCCTCCAAATAAAAATTCAACTAGGCATATTAGAGAAAGGGCAGAACATGATAGACAAAACAGTAGAGAACTTAGAGGGAGAGGTGATCGTGATCCTAGAGAAAAAACAGAACAAGATAAAGATCTTAGAGACCTTAAAGATAGGCAAGAAAGGGAAAGAACAGAGAGAGAACATAAAGACAAAATAGAAACCAGAAGTAAATCTAATGAAGAAAAAGATGTAAGGTAAATATCTCTTAATGTAATACACTAGTTTAAAGTCTGCTTAAATTTGTCTTTGAAAAATGTATGTGCAGAACAAGAAAATCTGATAGTCCAAGTAGACTTAGAGAAGGACCTGTTACAAGACTTGGTGGAAGTTTAGGTGAAAAGGATGTAAAACCTAAAGTAGAACGTGTTGAAGCTGATGAAGATAGTTCACAAGAAAGTGAAAAAGCAGAAAATAATGATAACTCTGAAAATGAAGACGTAAATGATTTTTTTCAACTTATTTTTAATATAAATAAACATATTTTTGCCTTTTTAATATAAAGTTTTAATGTAAAATAATAAGATAAATTGTGTTTATAAAACAATGTAAAGATATATAAGCATAATGAAGTTAACAATAGATTATAATAAAACAATAACAAATACTTATTTTACTAGCAGAGTTACGAAGATATGTATACCCGTATTAAGCGAACCAGAAGAACGGCACAACGGCAATTACAAAGGGGTAACAAGCTTACAGGTTCGATGTTTAACATATTCGCGCAATTGTTTTATTTAACAACAAACATAGTATTGCACTGTTTCTAACTTATTTTTTTACAGTGGTAGATAGTGATTTAAGTGAATCCTCTGATTCCCCTGGCCCTAGAAAGTATAGTTTACGTCAAAAGAAGCCAGCTGTAGATAGATTTCAAGCTAATGTAGAACCAGTTCGACGATCTATAAAAGCACTTAGAAGTGTTCTTAGTAACTCCATGAGAAGGCGTAAACATAGAAGTAAAAGTACAAGCTCTAGTGATTCTAGCGATTCAGAACCTCAACGTTATGATAAGAAGAAAAGCAAAAAAGCAAGGTAAAAATATGTGAAAAAGAGACAAATGTAATTCAGTATATTTAAAGTTAGTATAGAAATGATTAACAACATTCATTTTATTGTAGGCAATCAGCAATACCTCAAGGTGGACCACCTGACCGTAAAGCAGATATAAATCCAATTACTTTAGATACTAATATTAGATTCAACGATGTTGGAGGCTTAGAGTCGCATATTCACTGCCTTAAAGAAATGGTTGTTTTTCCTATGATGTATCCAGATGTTTTTGAACGTTTTCATATTACCCCACCAAAAGGAGTATTATTTCATGGTCCACCAGGTATAGCTTTTACATTTATAATACTACATTGATTAAATTTCAACTGAAGCATTATGAATATCAATGTATGTATAGAAATATTCACAAGTTATCGATTTGTATCAATATCGAATACTTTTGTAGGAACCGGTAAGACGTTAATAGCTAGAGCGTTGGCAAATGAATGTAGTCAAGGCAGTAGAAAAATGTCATTCTTTATGAGAAAGGGCGCAGATTGTTTATCCAAATGGGTCGGCGAATCTGAACGCCAGTTGCGATTGTTGTTTGAGCAGGCTCAACAAATGAAACCGTCCATAATATTTTTTGATGAAATAGATGGCCTTGCACCTGTTAGAAGTACGAAGCAGGATCAAATTCATGCTAGTATCGTATCTACTCTTTTGGCGCTTATGGATGGCCTCAGTGATAGAGGGGAGGTAAAATGTTTTTTTTTCTTTTTAAACATTTTCAAGTATCAACTTATAGAATGAACTTTAATTGATTATTTATCGAATAACAGGTAATAGTTATTGGAGCAACAAATAGGATAGATGCAATTGATCCAGCATTACGTAGACCGGGTCGTTTCGATCGAGAATTGTTTTTCCCCTTACCTGCTATGAAAGAAAGATTAGAAATATTGAAAATCCATGTTAGTAAATGGAAAAATCCCCCGTCTGATCAATTGTTAGAAGTATTAGCTGAAAAAGCAACTGGTTATTGTGGGTCAGACTTAAGAGCTCTGTGCACAGAAGCAGTCTTGCAAGGATTGCGAAGAACGTATCCCCAAATATATATGACTAATAATAGATTACTTTTAGATCCTGAACGAGTTGAAGTATGTTATTATTACCATTATTTAAAAATACGCGACTAACAAATAAATGTGATATAAGAGTATATATATTGCTACAGGTGAAAAAACGAGATTTTTTACAAGCTAGCTCTATTCTTGTACCATCATCACAAAGAGTATCTCCTTGCGCTGGAAGAAAATTGCAACCTTTTATGGAACCCTTATTAGGACCATTGTTGGAAGAGTTACTTAGTTCAACAAAAGGAATATTTCCTCAAGGAGTTAATCCTGCTATGGCTAAGTAATAAAATATTAATTTATACTCGCATTATATTCCTTTTAGCACGCCTATACATGAAATCATTTTTAATTCAATATTTTAGAGTAAAAATTACCAAAGGAATACATCGTCCAAGGTTATTGGTTTCTGGTGGAAATTTATCTGAAGGTCAAGGGCCATATTTAGCACAAGCTCTATTGTATCATATGGAACATTTACCGGTTCAAACATTAGACGTTAGCACTCTTTTTGCAGAAAGTGGACGATCTCCAGAAGAAACCTGTGTGCAGGTTGGTTAATGGCGCTGAAAGAATACACATGATGTTAAGTAAGTTGTGATTTTAAATATGGCATATTAACTTTTGTTTGTAGGTATTTAACGAAGCTGCCAGGAATGTACCGTCCATAATTTATATTCGGTCGATTGATCAGTGGTGGCCACTTGTACCTGAAACTGTAAAAGCAGTTTTTTTATGCCGTATAGCAGCACTAGATCCTTCATTGCCTATTTTAATTTTAGCCACAAGCGATAGAACATATCAGGATCTTCCTACTCAATTACAGAGTCTGTTCAGTGAACTTCGCGGTGAAGTTTATTCTATGAAAACACCAACAGCAGAGCAAAGATCGAAATTCTTCCGACCTATTTTTATGATTCAGTGTCTAAAACCACCAAAAATAAAGGACGACAAAGTAGAAGTTTTAGAAGAGCTTCCTTTAGCACCGAACCCTTTACCAAAGAAATTAACGGAAGAGGAAAAGAAAATGATATACGAAAAGCAAGAAGTTTCATTAAGGGAATTAAGAATTTTCTTGAGAGAAATTTGTGCAAAACTCGCAAGAAATAGACAGTGAGTATCTTTGTATCATAATCTTTTATTTAAATTATAAAACCGTCATTGATATTACACATATGTATGTTCCAGATTTTTCATGTTTACAAAACCAGTAGACACAGAAGAGGTACCGGATTATAATATGATAATAAAGCAACCTATGGATTTAGAAACAATGATGACAAAGATTGATATGCATTGTTACCTGTGTGCTCGAGATTTCCTTGATGATATTGATCTTATTTGTAGAAATGCTTTGGAATATAATCCTGACAGGTTAGTATACACAGTGTCCATCCTTTAATTTATAATATGTAACTAGGCCTCACAAAACTACATTCAAATATTATAATTTAATCACGGAATATTTAATAAGTTTTTATCTATCACTCTGTTTCCTTCATAAGTTATTTGGAAAACTTATATTTTGATAAAAATATGCAATAATAGACAAGTATTTCACACATTATTGTTTATATTTATTCATATACCCACTTTTCTGTTGTTCTTGCACATACAACACTTATAAATATAAATAATGGAGCTAAAGTTCATACTGACATTCATGTTGTGTGTTTTCATGTCAGCTTACGTGATAGGCCCTCCCTTGGAATATTAAAGAGGTAGTTCAGATATTCCTGTTTATCCGTTGCTGTTGTTGCTCCGTAGTTAAGGTGGCCTTCAATTGCTGTCATATATTCTTCATTATCTATACACATACTAAGAGAATTCCATTATTGAAGGTCACTCGTATTAGTTCATGTTGCTTTTCACTAGTGATGTACTCCTTTGTAACTTTTGTATATATTGTATTGTCTTTTTTCGCAGAGATCCAGCAGATAAATTGATAAGGCACCGTGCGTGCTCCCTTCGTGATAATGCGTATGCATTAATAAAAGCAGAATTGGATTCCGATTTTGAGGATAAATGTCGTGAAATTTCGAAAAATCGCAGGATCATTGAAAGTACGACCCACAAGGAAGCGGAAAATAAAAATCAATCGAAAACAGAACAACCTATATCCACGGTCGAACGAACGGATAAAAAGGATACCGCAAGTCCTAGTCATTCTCTTGTCGTAAATGGAAGACGATACAATAGTTCTAGAAAGCGTAGGATACCAGCCTGGGCTAGGGGTTATGTAAAAAAGGTTCACAAAAAGAAAAAAATTGCATTCGATGATAATGTGACTGTATCTGATAACAAGGTTTGCCTGACCACTGAAACTACGAGCATCGATTTAGAAAAATTCCAAGAATTTGAAACCGAGGCGAACAGTGTCTTAAACGGGCATGTACCTTTGTTCGATAATACCGATTCCGAGAATGATTCACAGAATGAATATTCAAAAGACGCACAGGAAATTCAGAGCAATAATATCATTGATCAAAAGATGGATGAAATCGAAAACATGGAGATAAGTTTTACGGAAGAAGATAAGAATGTCGAAAATAGTGCGTCCAATTCGTCGTCTAGACGAGAAAGTATGGATGAATTGTCGTTTGCTATCGAAAGTGATTCTAGTCCAGCGAGATTCGAAGAAAACGAGAAGCTTGTGGTAGATAAAAACAAATTGGAGAGCGCATGGCACTACACTGTTGAAATTACACAGAATTTTCCGGTTGAAGTACTGTGCGACATTTATGTACAATTGAGTCGATGTGTAGGAAAATATGCTCAGAGTTATGACAGAAAATCACTGCCAAAGGTAACTATAATGTATTTAATTTATGACTAAATTTGCTATATCTATTTTTTTACTGTGCATGCATAATTTATTTCTCAACATTCATATATCTTTCTTTAATAATCCTCAAATAATATTATTCATCACATTTTTTGCTACGCTGCTTACTCTTGTTCTTAACTTTGCTGTTACTTTTGATTTCCCGAGCGAACTATACAGGATGTTCAGCTAGCTTTGGTACTAAATTGGGAGGGGTGATTCCTAAAGCCATTTTAAGGCGCAGTGCGTGTGTGTGTGTAATTTAATGAACAGTCGTAGCTCATACTGTGTAGGAATTTCTAATGAGACACTGACAGGATAAAATAGTGATGATGTGTGTGTGTGTGTGTGTGTGTGTGTGTGCGTGCGCGCGCGCGCGTGTGTGTGTGTGTGTGATATCCATGAGAAGGTTGTATAATTGAAAAGACATTCACTCTCTCTCTACTCGAAAATCCCATTAGATGGGTTTCGACATGCCCATGTGAATTTTTGCGAGCAGGCAGGTTTAATGCTGTTCTACAATTCACATTGGATTTTCATTAAGAAATGTTCGTAAAATTGTATCGATTCGTGTCAGTTTCTATTACCAAGTTAGCGTGCCTTTCTTCGATTAATAGGACACTGACTGAGCCGTCACGCAGCTGCCTGACCAAGGCCAGCGCACGAAAATTACATACCTTAGGCGCAGATTTTAATTATCAATAACAAATTAACGAAGCCACGAATTAAATTTTATTACTCTTGAGTTTCGTCTTTGAATGACTTCAGAAATTATCCCTCCAATGTAGTATCACAACTAGCCGAGCACCCTGTATAAATTACACAATGTAATTTTTTAAGTATCTTATAATTTATAATGTGTATAGGACTTGCTCAAGGAAGTGAAAAGGTTTGAAGAGTTCAAGACAACATACGAGAAAGTTCATTATGTCGCTAATCAAACCGAGACGTTATAAGTAACATGCTACCTTTAGTATCATTATAACGAAATTTTTGTACATTTACACTGAACAAAGATTATTGATTAGTGTTGAACCACATGATAATTTAAAATATTATAGTTTTGTTTTTCTTTTAATTCTTACAGTTACTGGTAATTAATAAAAAAGTAAACCTTATTATTATACAAATATTTATAAAAAAAGACCGAAATAGTGATACACTTAAATTTCGGATTTTCAAAGACATGGTGAAGTGTAACTGTACGTTAATCTTACAGAAAGAAGGGGAGTATTATACATGAAATTAAAAGGAAACGATTTTAACCATTTATCTCAGTATCTAAAGATGAAATCGTAAATTATTATAACCATATTGGCTTTCATCAATTATTATAATTATTAGTGTCTGACATTATATCTCCCTTATTAAAAAAAATTTGATATCAAATTTAGATATTTCAACAATTCTACATGATTTTTCGTTACAATATTCGTATAAAAATTGGCACGAAAAAGCAGATGTATTGAAATTAATTATTATAAGGTTCCACAAACAATCCGCTTCTTGTGCAAGTCAATTTTAGTGGGTACTTGTGAAAAAAATGTTGTGTTAATGTATAGTACTTTATACCTGGATGGGGTATACTACTTCATAACAACATAATTTTGCAAACACTGGTTATACAAAGATGATGGTAATTTAATAATACAATACGTACTTAACTATAGTTTTTTACATGTGGTACTTGGCAGTATATTACAATAAATAATTCTGTTATATGTATATGCATACAGTAAGATTCCGATAAATCTTGATAAAATGTATTATAAATTTTTCTTACGCACCAGTTATTACTTTGGATTTTTACGATTCTTTCGGTAATTTTTATGGAAAGTACTTTGAAAATAGACATATCCTGATGTGCAGGTTCTAAAATCACATGTGCCCTATTTTCAAAAGAAATCTTAGTATAGTAATAGTCATTTCTAAAGCACACTCTAAAAGTAAATTCGTTAAAATAATTTGACATGACTTTTTTACTCTTTCATCGAAAGTCACAATTATGTTAATTAATATTATTAATAATTTTATGCATCGGTTCTAATTAATCATCAAAACAATGCAAACTTAAGAATAGATTTCATAAATTGAAAAATATATAAATACATTCCAAATCTTATGAACAATATTATATATTGCGTATTAAA